GGCAACTATGCCTCCCTCACAATCATCAACAAAGAAAAGATCTCACACGCCTTAAGCTTGTGTGCCCACGCACTCTCTATTCTGGTCAACCATTTAGTTAGCGTAAACAACAAACACCATCCCGTCTCCCGCGGTATACTTAAGTTTCAATCCAAACTTATTTTCTATTACTTTAAAAAAACAGGGCGGATACCCTTGTAAGGGTATTCGCGCCGACAACGTATTCATCGGAGTGAAGTTTTATAAAACCATAACCCCATTAATTTTTTATGATTTTCATTATTTTTTCCATTTTAAGCCTTTCTTTATTGTCAATATATACACCCGAGGTTTGAGCACGACAATAGGTTGAGGGGGAAGTGAGGTGTGGATGGGTGGGTGGGTGGTTCAGTGGAGGGGGGGGATCTTTCAGGTCCTTCAGGATTTTCACCCCTTCAAGGCTTTAGGGATTTCAGGATATGGCATCCGAGGCAAGGAAACAATTTGGGAGAAGTGGGGAAGGGTGTCTATCACGCCCTTCATGATTTTTACCCCTTCAGGGTTTTCGGGATTTTCAAGCCATACAGTTGGGCCATTTAAACGAAAAACGGTGCATAGGGGGGTGGTTTCGAGGTCCGTCAGGATTTTCGCGCCTTCAGGGTTTTCAAGACTCTAAGGGCATAAAATCCAAGAGGCATCTAAGCGAAAAAGAGGGGGAGGAGGGGGCAATTGTTTTAGGGTTTTTTTTCATAGCCTTCACCACTTCAGGATATTTCGTGATATTTTTTATGTCAAAACAAATTCTAAAAAGGGGTAACTTTTAGAGCTTTCAGAGCTTTCATGACTTCATGATCGTTCGGGCTAACTTCTAAGAGGTGTTAACTCTATGCTGGTGGATAATGAAACATTGGACATGTGAAACAAAAAAAAAGGGGGAGGAGGGGGACGATGTTTTCATAGCTTTCAGAGCCTTCAACACTTCATCATCGTTCGGGATTTTCCTGATAAATGAATAAATACTGAGGGGAGTTGCTTTTTCATAGCTTTCACCTTTCAGGATTTTCATGATAAGTGAACAAATAACAAGGGGGATTGCTTCTTTAACTTTCACCACTTCATGATCATTATGGATTTTCAAGATGTCAAAACAGGTTCCAAAGGGTAGTTGCTTTCAGGGTTTTCAGAGCTTTCACCACTTTAGGACCGGGATTTTCAAGGTTCGTCTTTGACTTTATGCTGGTGGATAATCAACCATAGGGCTTAGAACCGTTCATAACAATTCTTTAAGGGATTGGGGATCACCAAATGACAATTTCTCGCTTTTGTTTTCATAATTTGGAGCAGATATGGAGACACGGGTCGGTGACATATGATGGGAAAGGGAATTTAAATTATAATACCAAGACACAGGGAAAAAATGAGACAAAAAACGCAACCTTTTGTATGCGATCCGAAGTGGACAAAGATAAAAAGGGACTAGAAAGAGAAGTCATAAACACATGAGGAAACCAAAGCGAAAACATTGTTGTCATATCCAAAAGATATTCCATGAAACTAGAGATGTGGGCAAAATGTCCTGGAAAGGGACTCCTTGATGACACCTCTCAATGACCGACAACGAAAGTTCCTGGAGCTGTCTCTGAATGTCGTCGATCCCCTTCTGCGCATCGATGACATGCCACCTGTCATCATCATCATTGATCATCAGGTTCTCGAACTGCTTGGCCACGAGCTTCTGGAAAGACAGCCTCTCATACCTCTCTTCTCCGTACTGCCCTCTTCCTGCCGCGATCTCCGGCGGAATCTGCAGATAGAAGATTGCGTCGGGGGCGGTTAGTCCCACCTCCGGCGCCTTGCACCAGTCCAGATCCAGACCTTTGGCGGCGGAAAAGGCTATCCCCGAGAACGAATACCTGTCGACGATCAACGTGCATCCGCTGCGCAATCTCGCCTCCATCTCCCCTCTCTTCTCCCACCGATTGGCAGCGAACAGCAAGTGTATTGTCGCGTCGTCGAGCTCGCTCTTCTTGCTCAGATAGGACGAGATCATTTGGCCCACGGTCGTTCGACGGTCGGGATACCGCCATATCTCGGTCGGGATCTGGCGGTCTGTGAGGAATGCCCGCAATCGCTCGCATTGCGACGTCTTCCCGCTCCTGTCCAGACCTTCAAGCAAAATAAACGCACCGCGAGTAGAAAAAGTGGCCGGCCAGCCGCTCCCAACCCCGACTTCCAATCCTTGCGCAGAGGCAACCCGCTTGACTCCGGGAATGCTGCGCGGAACCGACCCTTGCCCTGCGCGAGCCCCTAGGGGTCTGCCGGCTCCCATCCCGACATCCGATCCGGGTCCCGACAAGCAGAATGCCATGTCAGCAATCAAGCCGCTGCTTGACCTCCTTCGACGCGCTGCTACGTTAAAGCCCTTTGTCTTGCTCTGCTCAAGAGGAAGAGGAAAGACTACCACCAGCCGCAGCAACAGCAGCAGCACGACAACCTGGATGCGCTGCAGAACCCCTTCCGCCCCGCTGCTTCTGACAACAAGCGCAGATGAGAAGAGAGACAGATGATGTCAGACGCAATTGCGCTGTAGGGATCGCGGTGAACGCCACCTTGTCCAAGACGAAATACGTGGCAAGAAGTTATCCCCCCCCTCCCCCTCCCCTCCCCCCTTACAAAGCCCTGCTCTCCCTCTCAATGCTGGGTGACACCTGTCAGACAAGCCAACATGGCATCATAAGATAAGAACACAGAAACCAACCACGTAAGCGTGGAGAAGACGAGGGAAACCCACATCACATTGCAGAGAAACCAACCACATTAGATTGGACAAGAAGAGAATAAACACATCAGACTGCAGCAGAGAAGCCAACCACTTATGTAAGTGTCAGAACATACAACCATGTCAGACTGGCAGAGAAAACCACCACGTCAGGCAGGGAAAGAACAGAGATACCAAGTCCGACTGCCTACAGAGAAGCGAACCAAGGCAGGGTTTAGAGGTAACAGAGAAACCAAGCGCGTCAGCTTGCAGAGCCTACCTAACACGCGAACGGGATATTCGAACGAGAATACATGCATATGACAAAAGACTGACGCCGTATGCATTTTCTCTACGCGCCCCGTGCGTAGACCCTAAGTGCCCCCCAAAGTTCGGGAGATACGTACTTCTTGGCAAGGCGGGCGGGGAAGGATGGCTTGGGGGGAGGGCTTCTTCCACTTTGTTTTTTTTTTTTGGGTTTAACGATAACAGCAAGCCTCTCTCTCTCTCTCTCTCTCTCTCTCTCTCTCTCTCTCTCTCTCTCTCTCTCTCTCTCTCTCTCTCT